AGTCCTAATTTTTCTATTAAATTATATTATATTAAGATAAAAGGGTAAAAAAAAACTAAAAGAAAGGGCGTATCGGTTCATATACCACTCTGCCAAGGACATGAGCGTAATTTGAGTTGAAAAGATACGATTGGGTGTGAGCGACGCGCTATGGAAGCAAGTGTAGGAAAAAGGTCAGAAAGTTTACGGTCAGTGGATGAACAAAAGAGGGAAATGGTTGGCCCTCTTCCTGTACTCTTGGATTGGACTTTTCTGGAAAGTTATTTCTTTTATTTGCCATTATTATTCCCATTTCCTTTTCTGAGACACCCCTGCTTTCAATGCCCTGCCCTACACATACGATAATATTCCTCTCCTTCCTGAACTACCCTCGCCCTTAATTCCAATTCCAAATTACATTATAATTTTTCCCCTCCATATAAAAAAAAAAAAAAAAAATTTAATGTTGTTCTCAATAAATTTATAGTTGATTCTATAAGTTTTCTTTATCATTTCGATTTGAAGTCAGATCAAATAGAGTACTAAAACAATTGAATCTCTGTAACTCCTATGAGTCATGTTAGTTTCGTCTAGATTTATCTTCTTATGTATATAAATTTTATTGATGTCACATCATTTCCTAAAAAAAATTTAAATTTTTAATGCTACGATAAATTATGTAGGGATGGCAATGGTACATGACGTTCCTCCCCGTCCCCACCCATCAGAGACTTTCAGAAAACAAGGCGGGAATTAAAATATTACTATTTATCGTCTCGTTTATTTATTTGTTTGATTTTACATTATTCCACCCTCTTATAATCTAGTCATTGAGGTCACATTGCTCTTTATTTTTATTTATCAATTTAGTTCATTGATATATAATTACGTGTCTTCCTTTCTAATTTTTCGAATTTAATTGTTTTAAAATCCATTAAACTAACAACCGTAGCATTTCCTACCTTTTATCTTCAACTTTGATCTGAACCTGTCATTACATTTCTTTTCTCAATTATAACATTTAACAAATTTCTAGCTTTGTACTCTCCAGAAATTTTTTTACCATGGTTTGTGAATCTTACATAATTTATAAAAGATATCAAGATGCCTCTCGAGAAATAATTCAGTGATGCAAAAGATAGGAGTGCGATAGTGAGGACCCTCAAAATTGGGGTTCAACCTTTTTTTAAAAGATATCAAGATTATCACTTAAATCCTTTTAGAGATCAATTTATAAAGAATAAAGAATAAAAAAATCTCTCGAGTAAGAAAAAATGGAGTAGATTTTAACAAATAAAGATCCTCCAAATTCTTTCCAATGTGCTTGTGTAGAATCAAGTTTAACCTTTTTTTTTTTCAAAAATAACATAAAAAGTGTTAAAAAATAGAAATGTAGGCTAAATAATCATATTCTTTATTTTGATCATCGATCTAGATTACAACAAAAATACCATTTATAGTTTTAGAAACCTTTTGTTGTACCAAAATTCTCCTTGTTTTCTTTTGTCAAATCGAGAAATAACTCTTCGCAATAAAGATTTCCAATTCAAAATTGTGAGTTGACATTTTAAGATTAAACTCAACAAAAAATGTGCAAACACATATGAATGCATATTATTCCTTAGATTTGATGCTACACACACCTCATTTAGAATTAGAAGAAGGTTCTATATTAATCTTATCTCTCACTTTATCTTTATATTAGTTCTTGTCTTTATAACAATTTTTGACAGAAGACTCTCAATTCAAAACATGGGTTGATATTTTAAGATTGAACTCAACAAAATATATACAAACGCATATAATCAGATTATACCAGTCAAAATGCATATTATTCCTCAGGCTTGATGCTACACACACCTCTTTTAAAATTAGAAGATGGATGATATAATAATATTATCTCTAACTGTATCTTTATATTACTTCTTCTCTTTATAACAAATTTTGATAAAATATTTAGTTTTATCACAATCACGACATTTCTTAATTTTTGTTTCAGACTTCGATCCAGTACGCATTACCCTACTTTTCACCACCATCACTACTTCACTTCCATTGTTTTGACTATATTGTTTCCCACACATGTTGAGATCTACCTCTCATCGTTTGGACTTTTCACCCTTTCTTTGTAGTCTTTCAGTTATGACTCTATTTCGTCACTTCTTAAAGAATCAAAATCAATTTTGTGTTAAAGTGTCTGTCTAAGAATTACATTTTCAATTTTTTTTTTTTATATAAATCTGGTATAACATTTAACAAAATTATAACATCTACAGTAGCTTCCTATATTTGATTAGACACACCTAGGCAACGCATTGATAATGTTCCCCGAGTTTTTTTTGTCAGTCATTCATGGCGATGTTTTTTAGCTCTTGTTTGGCTCCCCTTTTTTCAAAATTCATTTTCAACCATATAGTCTTCCGATTAAATGATTTTACACGTAAATCAAATTTTTTTGCCTAGTTTTTAATTACACATTTTTCAAAAAAAACCCACTTTTCACGAAATTTATTCTTAAAATTATGTATTAAACAAGGACTTAATGATATGCAATTTGTAAAATAAAGTAAATCAGGATCTAGTTTTTGTTCTCTTAAAAAAGCTCAAAGGCTAAATAGTTTCGAGTGGGGAAGGGAGTGGAGAGGGAGGAGGTAGCGGATTGACGTGTTGAGTGAATGAAAGAATAAATGAAATAGGACAATAATTAAATTTGTTGATTAGATTTATATCGTCAATCAATTGGTTTCGTCTATGAAAAATCTGAACGAACGAAACCATGAAATCATCTTGACGTAAAATTACTTTTGTCGGTCATTGGGTGTGAATCTTACTACTATGTGAGAAAAACAAAGTAGCCCAACTTGTAGCTTCCTATATTTCATTAGACACACCTACTATGCAATGCGTTGATTATATTCCTCGAGGTTTCTTGTTAGTCATTCGTGGTGATATTATTTAACCCATTATTTAGACTCTGTTCTAAAATTTATTTTTCCCAAAATAATTCTATTCACTGATACTATCAAAAATCCTCGCCAATTAATTCTTGAAATTGATGATTGAAGATAATCACGAATAGAATCTCCAATACATGAAACAAAACGTCGAAGTGTGTTCTTGTCGCCCTTCAGATCTTAAGTTAGCGAGAAGGACAAATTATTTAACCCATTATTTAGACTCCATGTTCTAAAGTTCATTTTTCCAAAATCATTTTATCCATCGATACTATCAAATATCTGCACCAATTAATTCCCATTTAAAAATCATTTCAACCATACATTTTTTATCAATACACCATTTAAAAATGCATTTTCCCCCAACATGGGGCTCAATCAAGGGCATTATATCTATCCAACTCTAAATATATCCCTAATATAATTTCAAAAATTTTAAAAATCATTATATTCATTCAATCACTATCAACATCTAATCTGATTCTTACTTTTTCTTTTCTATATTATCATGTTCATGCTTTAATATTTAGTTTTAAAGGCCAACCAATATCTTGACTTGAATTTATTGAAGTCTCTTAAGAGTAATCTGCTCTTGCAATTAAACAATCCCCTCATCGAATCATATTTTAATTAACTAATTAATTTATTTTTGCTTATAAGCTAATAATTTTGATGGCTTTTCCCTTTTGTAATGTAAGAATGTTTGGATAGGTATTGAAACTTATTTTGAAATTTCTCATATACTTTCATCTATCAAATTAATACTTAAAACAAAGTATAAAAAATAAGATTCCATTTATCATATCATGAAAGAAGTATAACTAATATAATATGTTGATTTTATTTATTTTTTTTTTTTTTAATTTCAGTTGAAGATGAGATTTTATTATTATTAGAATTTTAGTTAAACAAAAACTCCAAAAGAATATAAAAATGTTCAAAAGAATTTATGAAAATAAATATTAATTGATGAACTTAGAAAAATATATTTTTATTTAAATTTTATATATGTCTATTTAGGTAAATTTATATAAGATTCAAAAATTTTCTATTTTTCAGTCACACAATTTTTTAAAAATATCACTTTTCACGAATTTATTCATTAAAATTGTATCAAACAGGGACTTAATGATATGCAACTTGGATAAAAAAAAAAAAAAAATGAGTAAAATAAGGTGTAATTTTAGTTTTCTTGAAAAGGCCCAAAGCTTGAATAGTTTGGAGTCGGGAAGGTCAGGGGAGGGGCAAAGGTACGTGGGAGTGAATTAATGAAATGGGACGTAATTAGGAGTTAATTGTTTCAATGATGACTAAATTTTGGTCCATGTTTTTTATTGGTCACTAAAATTTAAAATGTTGAGTTTTGATCACTAGACTTAGGTCAATGTTTTCGATTGACTACTGAACTTAGGTTTATGTCTTAAATTGCTCACTGAAATTTAAAATGTCGAATTTTGACCACTAAATTTTGAAATATGTCGTACGTTACTCAATAACATAATTATTGAATTTTGGAAAATATCGAGTTTACAGTGAGTAATGTACAATATTTTTCAAAGTTCAGTGGCCAAAACCGTACGTTTTAAATTTTAGCTAGCAATCGAAGATATGGACCTAAATTCAGTGATCAAAATTCGACATTTAAAATTTCAGTGACCAATCAAATACATGAATCTAAATTCAGTGAGCTTTGAAACAATTAAGTGACCATTGAAACAATCAACTCGAATAATTAGTGTAGCTACTAAAGGTAATTGAGTAACAAGTCAGGCTTCTAGTGTTGGTCCTGCCTGTTACCAGTAATAGCTAATGTAGGAAGAAAATTGAGGAGAGAGGGGAATTGGGGAGTGAGTGGTGCTAGCTTTTCGATTTGGTTAACGTCGGAAAGTTGAGTAAGAAAGAGATGGTTCAGTATTTTCCTATTTTCTTTTAATTTAATAATCCAACAACCAACCAATGAGAATACAAGGTAAAGGACACAGGAAACATATATATATATATATACACACACACACACACACACACACATTTTAAAGGAAAAAGAACGCTTAATATGCCAGACATATATAAGTAGAAATATATTTATATAAAATCACCCCGTCAACAGAGCCCTCTCCTCTACCTGTATATGAATTTCACACACACATGGAGATATAGAGAGAGAGAGAGAAGTAAGAGTTCTTGGATTCTAGAGAGAGAGAGACACTGCTTTTGGTCAAATCTTGAAAAACTGGCCTCGTCTATGCCGTACTGGGCAGCCATAGGAAACATGAGAGATCTAGTTGAATATTTGAAACTGGAATAAACTTTTCTTTTACAACTCTTTAAGGTAATAAGTTTTTATGTTGTTTCAAGAAGTCACGTATACCAGTTCTATTTGAGCATTATTTTATATTGGTAGCCAAAAGGAATATCTATAATCTATACCCACTCAACCCTCAATATTCTACTCCTACAAACTCAAAAACGAGCTTTTGTAGCCTCCCAAAATTTGGCTTCTGATGAGACAGTACTGATCAGAATTCTGAAAACCCATCAACTATCTTCCTCTCTAATCTTTCTTTAACCGACCATCTCTTTTTGGTTTTCTATCTTTTTTCCTCTTTGGGGTTAGTTTTCAGTTTTTCATCGGTAGAGAAATGTGGAATCTCAATGATTCACCAGATCAAACTAGGGGGGATGAATCCGAGGGTTATTCGGATGACAAGCTTAAAGGGGTCGGATCTGTGTCTAATTCAAGCTCGTCGGCGGTAGTTATCGAGGATGCTTCAGAAGATGAAGATGCAGAAAGAGGTAGAAAGAAAAGGAGCAGCAAAATATTTGGTTTTTCTTTTGCTCATAACGATGATGACACGGATCCATGCTCGTCGCCGGTTACCCGGCAGTTCTTTCCGGTCGATGAGTCTGAAACTGGGGCTACATCAAGCGACCGACCACTCAATTTACCAAGAGCTCAATGGTTTGGAGTTAAATTCTGTAAGTCTGAATCCCAAGGCGGCGGTGGAGGTGGTTTTGGGAAGTCTGCAGCGGCTGAGGTTGCACAGCCACTCAAGAAAAGCCGCCGGGGGCCTAGGTCTCGTAGCTCTCAATATCGTGGGGTTACCTTTTATCGGAGGACTGGCCGGTGGGAGTCACACATATGGTATACATTTACAAATCAAAAACTTTATCTTTGCTTTTCCTTTAATGCTAGTTTTCACTTTGTCCCAACAAAATTGTTTGTTCCATTCAAATACAATTCATCTGTGTTTCTTGTTTTTACTTTTCTTTCCGATTCAGGGATTGTGGAAAACAAGTTTATTTGGGTTAGTATTTCCTTCTTTATTCTCCATATTTAGTAAACAAGTTTATTCTTTTCTCAACTTGACCATCAAGTTCTTGCTTTATCATCTAATTTGTCAAATGGGCTTTTGTGTTGGAAATTTATAGGTGGATTTGATACAGCACACGCGGCAGCTCGGTTAGCTTTTTCACCTTCTCTAACTCTTATTTCCAATTCCACATTATTTACCTATAATCCGAAGAAACTAATGTTCAGACATGAATCTATTACAGTGCATATGATAGGGCAGCCATTAAGTTCCGTGGAATGGAAGCAGACATAAACTTTAATCTAGAAGATTACGAAGAAGACCTAAAACAGGTACTTCATTTGAAGAGAGAGGGGGGGGGGGGGGGGGGGGGGGGGGGGGGGGGGTTGTTCATCAACCAGATCCACCAATTATACAAATAAAATTTCCACTCAGCATTTCGCTCCATATTTTATTAACTACCAATTTCCATTTTCATTTTGTATTTCAAAAATATTTAAACCCCCCACTTACATTTTAACTTCCACATCTGCCAACTCCCATTTTAATTTATTTCATTACAGTATCCTTGTGGACTAATCCTTGTCTTAATTACCTTGTTTTATGCTAATGCATGTTTTATTTTATGAAACAGATATGTTTATTTGGGTCTGTTTGATACTGAAGTCGAAGCTGCCAGGTCAGTTTGTAGAGTAGTTGACTGTATTTATTTCTGCTTAGTGTTGCCAGCAGGGTTTGCAGGATTGAGTAGGAGTATAATACTTTCTGGGGCTTAATTATATTGTCTGGGAATTATAGGGCTTATGATAAAGCTGCCATCAAGTGTAATGGGAAGGATGCTGTTACAAATTTTGATCCCAGTATTTATGATGAAGAACTCAAAGGTGCAGGTAAAATTAATGAGGACTTAGTCGCGTTCGAAGGAGTTGAAAATTCTTCGTTGAACTGATTTTGGAGATGAAATTTTGCTTGTCTGATTTGAAGTTTTTGGTGTGTGACAGAATCTTCTAACAACACAGCAGATCACAATCTAGACTTGAGTTTGGGGAATTTAGCCTCAAGGCGTAGCAGCAAAGAAATGGAAGACAATAGTCGAGATCAGCATTGTTCGACAATGCCATTTGAATTTGATTGGCGACACCAGGGGTCGCGATCAGAGGTATATAGACACCAATGTGCCTTTACTTTGATGCCAAAACTTCAGTGTTATATATGTGATGACTTTTGTGAAACACAGCTTAGTTTCCAGAATCAACCGAGCCCAGTTGACAGAAGAGACCGAAGAGATGGATATAATGAAACCGATACTTTACGGCTTCTAAGCCAAACGCACATTCACTCTCCCAGTTCGTTGACGGCTAACGAAATGCACCAATATGGACAGTTCACGAAAGGCCACGATCCCCGCTTTCTTCAAATGTTTGCACCATTTGGCTCCCAAAATTTTCAAGTAAGTGCTTAAAGATCGATATCCATACGTGTAAATTAACGCTCAAAAGTAACGAATGCTGAACTGAACATAGAAATCGACAGATTCAGTATCCGAGCAGCAGCAATGTTGGTGGTGGTGGAACTACGGGCAATGGAGGAGAAATTTCTCCCTCAACAAATGATCAGCAGTGGCAGACATATTCACCTCAATTATTTGCTACTGCTGCAGCATCATCAGGATTCCGACAGCAAATACTGAAACCTCAAAATTGGCTGCAGAAAAATAGTGTCCACCCAATTACGAGACCCTCATAGTCGGCATATTCTCGTTTTCTGGCAGGTCATTGTCTTCTAATTCTGCCATCAAAAGATCTCCATTTTCTTTGAAGTCTGTAAAAATCCTAATCAGGGACAAAAAAAAATTATGATTAGAATCTGAAACGAGGTGGAGAAATTTGGAAAAATCAAATGTTAATTGGTCCAAACTAATGGCAAAAAATCTTGGATAAGATCTTCTGCCTTGTTTTCAACGAACAGTTTTCAATGCGTTGCGAAAATTCTTTGATGGCCTGATTTGGTGGCACTCTATATACCTCCATTTTAGATACCCCTCGACTAGAAGGCTTGGACTACCGTAACGACTCTAATTCTAGAGTTCGACTCATGGTTGTATAGCTATTTCAACGCGATAAGTTTTTCCAATATGCTTGCTAATAATGCACCCTTTTAGATGTGATCTTCATTACAACTGAGGGATTTGGAAGGAGTAATGCTATTTGTAGTCCTTCATCGTCGTAGTTTTTTATGTGGTATATATGTGGTGGATAGTGATTTGATATATGACTAATACATTAATATAACAAATAAAAAATCGTCATATAGGATATCACGTAAAGTGACTACAAAGATTGTAATGAGCGATTATGAATATTATTTACTCATTTGGAATGTTTCTTCATCAAGATGAAGGGCGAAACTTTTTGAAGAATTGACTTGCGACACCATTTACTTACAAAGTGCGTAGGAAGTTATTGTAAACCCTAAATTTTTACAAGCCAATTTTCCTAGGGAGCAAGCCATTTTTGTAGCTAAACTAAACGAACCAATTCATTTGCATCAAACTGATTATATTGAAATCGTGTAAAAAACTGAAACACGGGCGTAAAAATGAGTAATTCTTTATGGGAAATATAACCAGGGTTTGATGAATTGTCACCATCAATGGTGTCCTTTGAATCAGTTCTCTCATGAGCAAAAGCAGACAGACGTGGCTATTATGATGAGGGGGACTTGACCCATCCTTTAAAGCTTCAAAGTACTGTTTCAAAACCAAAACACAACCCTTAGTTAGTACCACTATTTTTTATTTTTTTAGTATTAAACAAATTATCTTCCGAGGTTTATTAATATTTGTAAAAAACTTTTGCTTATCCCAAAATAATGTATTCTGATATGTAGCATTGATTATTTAACCATTTTAATAATGTTTGCACGATTGCATCATCTGCGACGTCATCCTCGATAATATTATGGGACTATTTTATTTAATTTAATTCCTTAATGGGAGAAAGTAAGATTGATTAGTGGGAAGTTTGGATTTAATTATCATTATCATATGTAAAACAATATTAAATTAGATAATAGGAAAGGGTCAAAGAATCATACCCTTTATTTTTATAATCCCATTTGTTAGTGTTCTTTTCTGACTTTGACAGTGCCAACAATTCATGTTGACAACTAGAGGTTTAAATATTGTTGGGTAGTGTTTAAGATTTGTTGATGTTTAATCCAAATTACCTTATATGGTCCAAAGCTTTCACATTAGATTAAATATTTAATGTTCCTTATAAATGATCGAAAACTTGCGGAATGAAAAGTAATATGACTGCGATTGAAGAGTACGTTATTAATTTCTAACAACCACTTGCATATGATGATACGGGTTAAATGTAATTGTTACACATCATGGAGGTCTGTCACAAACCCCTCCCTGAACCTTAACCCTTCATCTGAAATTTGAAATTTTAGATGCCCTTGTCAAAGGGGTTGTCAAATGCGGGTAGCAAATAAATGTACTCCTGATGAATGGAGAAAATTAATTATAATTGAAGAATCAAATCTTGTATATCCATTTTGCAAATTGATGCACAAAATTTGAACGTTTCATGGCCCTTACTCTTAGAAATAAACAAAAGAGACAGTGGTGCAAAGAACATGAGTGAGGTTATCTTACGCTTTGCTGATAGCCGTAGTGTGAGAGTTCGATTCTTGAGATATAAAATTAGATTCTTCGTAAACACAGTGTACATGCAGCTCTTATTCTCTTGCCTGTTGAGGTACATTCCGCGATTTACCTTTCTCACAATGCTCTAGGATGGAACGATGGAGTCCTCATGTTTAGGGTTCAACCTTTTTTTTTTTTTTTTAAATAAACAAAAAGGACAAAAGTTGAAAGACTTTTGTTCTTTAGTGACAGTATTGGTTCAGACCAGCATCCTAGATTCTTTCCTTCGCATAGGATCCACGAAACGTTGCAGGAACGAGACAGACCAGATTCATCCCTCTCCACTAAATATTTTTATTTTTTTAAGGAAAAAAAAAATCCATTTGTTGCAGAATCGAAATGGTCTGTGTAACATGTGACAACCTTAGCTGGAGTTGATGGTAAATAAAAATAAATAAATAAACAAGAAAGAAAAAGTGAAAGGAATCAAAACGAATAAAGAAAATACGTACAACTTTATGGACTTCAAAAATGGGGGCTTTTCCGAAATGGAATTTCTTCAACGGTGAAAACTATTTTGGGGTTGTAATTTTGATTTGTATTGGGGGCAAATGTGTATGTTTGTGCAAGGTTCTTATTTCTTTTAGTACGCTTACTTTTATTTTTAGCAGTTGGGGAGAATACATCACTTTAGCATTTATGCATTCATTCATTGAGATAGAGATGCTTGATCTTATTTTTCTTCACAGGACACTTCGACTACGTGACAACTATGTTAAACAATGACGTTTCTTTCCTGTTGTGGTAATTTGATTTATGATGCTACCTCAACGGTGACCTATTTGTCCCACTAATGTTAGCTTTAGGAACTAATACTATAATTTTTTTTATTATAAATAAATTCGATTTTGAGTTTTTTTTTT